ACCAACCCCTGACCCTCCAGTCCGCAGGCCAATGTTCTATCCACTGAGCCAAACCGGCTAGGGCCAGACTATAACTTATGGCAAAATCTTGTGATTAGAGTCCCCATTAGTGAAAAAGGTGAAGGGATTGAGAAGTACAGATTGGTAGTTACAAAATAGTCCCAAGGATGTAAATTACAGCATAGGGAATAGAGTCAATAATGTCATAATAACTACATATTGTGCCAGGTGGATACTGGTAATATTGGGGAGAACACTTTGTAAAGTATATGATTGTCTAGCAGGCCTCCATAGGCCCCACTCCACTCTCAGACAGAGAGCCTGTGGCGAGGCCTCTGGAACTTTCCGCACACAGACTCTGGCTTGCAAAAGAATACTGAATGGGCAAAAGATATGACGAGACATGTCACCAAAGATATTGCCATCAGGAAAATGCAAAGAATAACCACAGTGAGACATCATTACATATGCATTAAAATGGCTGAAATAAACAATAATGACAATACTGAATACTGGAGATGCAGGGAAACTGGATCACCTATAGTATAGACATTGCATGTGAGAATGTAAAATGGTACAGTTATTCTGGAAAACAGTTTGGCAGTTTCTTATAAAACTCAACATGCAGCTGTCATATGGCCCAGCATTGCTTTCCTGAGTATTTTAACAGAGAAATGAAACCTTACACACAAAAACCTATTCGTGAATCGTCTTAGCAGCTTTGTTTGTAATAGCCCCAAACTGGAAACCTTCTCGATGTAGTCGCTCAGCAAGGGCCACTATCTCTTATAAAGTACAGGACTATGTTTATGATACAAACCATCACTACTGCCAGACTATAACTTAATTTTTTAAATTGATTTCAGAGAGGAAGTGAGAGGGAAGAGACATAGAAACATCAATGATGAGATAGAATAGCCCCGATATCTTTCAGTGAGTGAATGGTTAAATAAGCGGTGGCACATCCATAAGATGGAAGATACTCGGTGATAAAACCGAACACACTGTTGGTTCATACAACCTAGCTGGATCTCAAAGAAATCACGCTGCGTGGAAAAGAGCCAGTCTCAAAAGGTTTCCTATTGTATGATTCAATTTATGTAACATTCTTGAAATAACAAGTTACTGAGGTGGAGAATGGATTAGTGGTTGCCAAGGGGACAGAGATGGGGGAGGGAGACCATAAAGGCGTAGCCCAGGGCTCTTTGTGCTCAGGGAACAGTTCTATGTTTTGACTGCAGCAGTTGTTACATGAATCTACACATGTGGTAGATTTGCACAGCACTACACACACACACACACACACACACACACACACACACACGCATGAGTACATGTAAAGATGGTGAATCTGAATAAAGTGCGGATTGTATCATTGTCAATTTCCTCATTTAAAAAAATTTCTTGCCGAAGCCGGTTTGGCTCAGTGGATGGAGCGTCGGCCTGCGGACTGAAGGGTCCCGGGTTCGATTCCGGTCAGGGGCATGTGCCTGGGTTGCGGGCACATCCCCAGTGGGAGATGTGCAGGAGGCAGCGGATCGATGTTTCTCTCTCATTGATGTTTCTGACTGTCTCTCTCCCTTCCTCTCTGTAAAAAATCAATAAAAATATATTTAAAAAAATTTCTTGATTGATTTTATTTATTTATGCATTCATTGGTTGTTTCTTGTATGTACCCTGACTGGGGATTGTACCCACAACCTTGTTGTATCAGGATGATGCTCTAACCAAATGAGCAACCCGGCCAGGGCCAATTTTCTTGTCCTGATAATTGTGCTATAGTTATGCAAAAATTGTGTAAAGGATACATGAAATTTCTTTGTATTGGTTTTTTGGAAACTTTATGTGAATTCATTATTTCAGAAATTTAAAACACTTCATGAAGAGGGGACTGTGCTCAGTGGGCAGAGGTGCCAGCTGTGGAGCTTGCCCTGGACTCAAGGACAGTTTAGCTTGGCAGAGTGCTACACTAAACAAAATCTTTTTTAAAACATTAAAATACTGGTTCATAGGTTTGACACTCAACCACTGAGCAGGCCAGCCAGGCTAAACAAAATCTTTAAAGTAGGAAAATAGATGAAAATATTCATGCTTATGGAAAATGCATGCCTTACAAAGGAGACCAGATGGAGCGCTCTGGCAATGTCACCAACACTAATCCATAGCACTGGTAGGTGGTGCAGCACAAGCACTGGTGTGCAGGCTGCGGCCTTCTCACAGCGCATAGGCACGAAGGGCACCCTTTGCCTGCACACTGGTGCTCCCGCCTTTGCAATGACTTCTCCTTTGTGTCTGGTTGTCCTCTAGCTCCCAATGTTTGTTCTGAGGCTGTAACCCCACCCCCATCTGTTGCATATTCAGATGGATATTTGAGCTTGTGGAGGGGGGATTAGGAAGAGAACCAAAAGCTTATTTTATTTGCAGGTTTTGATCATATACATTAATCAAACTTTTAAAAATATATTTTATTGATTTTTTACAGAGAGGAAGGGAGAGAGATAGAGAGGTAGAAACTTCGATGAGAGAGAAACATCGACCAGCTGCCTCCTGCACACTCCCCACTGGGGATGTGTCCGCAACCAAGGTACATGTCTCTGACCGGAACCGAACCCGGGACCCTTGAGTCCGCAGGCCGATGCTCCATCCACTGAGCCAAACCGGCCAGGGCTCCTTTTCCTTTCTTTTTTTATTGAATGTATTGAGATGACATTGTTAATAAAATTATAAACATTCCAGGCGTACAATTCTATAACACATCATCTGTGTATTGTATTGTGTTCACCACCCCAAGTCACCTTTGTTTCCTTCCATCACCATTTACCTCCCATTACCCTCTTCTACCTCCCCCACTCCCCTTTATTTCTTTTCTGAGTTCTAGTGTGGGTATTTGAAAAACCCTAGCCCTAGCTGGTTTGGCTCAGTGGATAGAACATTGGCCTGTGGACTGAAGGATCCCAGGTTCAATTGCAGTCAAGGGTACGTGCCTGGGTTGAGGGCTCAATCCCCAGTAGGGGGCATGCAGGAGGCAGCTAATCAATGATTCTCTCTCATCATTCATATTTCTCTCTCTTTTTCCCTCACCTTTCCTCTCTGAAATCAATTTTTGTGTGTTTTTTTTATTTTATTTTTTTTACAGCTGTGTAATGTTCCATGGTATAAATGCACCACAGCTTTTTTATCCACTCATCTACTGATGGCCACTTCGGCTGTTTCTAGATCTTAGCTATGGTAAATTGTGCTGCTATGAACATAGAGGTGTATATATTCTTTCTGATTGGAGTTTCAGAATTCTTAGGATATATCCCCAAAAGTGGGATCTCTGGGTCAAATGGGAGTTCCATTTTTAGTTTTTTGAAGAAACGCCATATTGTTTTCCATAGCAGCTGCACCAGTCTGCATTCCCAGCAGCAGCGAAGAAAGGTTCCTTTTTCTCTGCATCCTCTCCAGCAGTTGTTGTTTGTTAATTTGTTGATGATTGCCATTCTGATAGGTGTGAGATGGTACCTCATTGTTGTTTTAATTTGCATCTCTATGATGATTAACTTTGAGCATTTTTTTCATGTGTCTCTTGGCCATCTGTATGTCCTCTTTGGAGAAGTGTCTATTTAGGTCCTTTGCCCATTTTTGTTGGATTGCTTGTCTTCCTTTTGTTAAATTGTAGAGTACTTGATATATTTTGAAAATTAACCCCTTATCGGATGTATCATTGGCAAATATTTTCTCATGGGAGAACATATGGACAGTGGGTCCTCTTTTCATTTTGAGGCTGGCTTCTTTGGCTGTGCAGAGGCTTTTAATTTTGATGCAATAAGTGAATTCGGCAAAGTAGCAGGATACAAAATTAATGCCCAGAAATCAATGGTATTTTTATACAAGAGATGTATTGGCAAATATATTGCTACCAGAGATGTCTGAGATTTTGTTGCCTATGGTTTCTTCTAGGATTTGTATAGTTTTACGACTTACATTTGAGTCTTTTATCCATTTTGAGTTTATTCTTGTGATGGTGTAAGTTGGTAGTCTACTTTGATTTTTTCTTTTTGCATGCACCTGTCCAATTATCCCAAAACCATTTATTTTAAAATTAAATTAACTTTAACAATTTATGTTCTTAAAGGGGAATGTTATGTGATCACACACTTTTTTTCTAAGCTATTGCTTTTTCCCCTTTCTATATTGGGCTCAGTCAGTACATGGGGGTAAAAAAGTTACTGAAGTTTAGCTAACTCCTACCTTTTGATAGAGGCTCTGGGTCTGAAACCTGCTCTCCTGTTGTTTCATTGCCATTTCTCAATCTTTGCTAGGTGCATTAGGACTTTTGGGTGATAAAAAGAAAGTTTTGGGGTTTTCTTTTTGTTGCTATTTTTAATATGTTTTTATTAATTTCAGAGAGAGTAAGGGAGAGGGGGAGAGACAGAAACATCAATGATGAGATAGAATCATAGACTGGCTGCCTCCTGCACGCCCTATACTGGGGATCAAGCTCACAACCCGCAACCCAGGCATGTGCCCTGACCAGGAATTGAACCATGACCTTCTGGTTCATGGGTCAACACTCAAACATTGAGCCACACCAGCTGGGCAGTTTTTGTGTGTGTGTGTGTGCCATCAGGTGTGTGTGTGTGTGTGTGTGTGTGTGTGTGTGTTTAAATCACTATGGTCTTTAAAAGAGTAGCATGTTATAACACTGAGCTTCCCCTAAAGTAGCTGAGAATAACAATATCACAGAATTAAAAACGAAAACTTATTTT